GGGGGTGGGGCCGGGCTGGGCTGGGAGGCGGGGCCGGGCCTGTGAGGGTGGGTGGCAGCAGTGGACAGACCGCTCTCCCCCGTGTCTTTGCTGCAGGGGGGAGTCCGGTGCGGGAAAGACAGTCAACACGAAGCGAGTCATTCAGTACTTCGCCACGGTGGCAGCTGCCGGGGATGCTGGCGGCAAAAAGAACGTAAGTAATGGAATAAAGATGGACTCCTGGCCAGATGGCTGTGGGTTCGAGGCCCATCTGAGCCGCCGCAGTTGTCCACTTGGAGGAGCTGCTTCACGCAGGCTCCCAGACTGCCCCAGTATAAACACCCTGCTGTATTCAAGGCTCTCCAGGTGGTTGTAAATGAGATCATGTGTTCAATTGATTTATTTGTTAAATACAATAGTTTTTTTAAAACTAGATTATTATTACATATGATTTTTTTGTTGTTTTTCTTTTAATTGTTCATGACCTGATGTGTTTATCAGCAACCGGCCACCAGGACTGGAGTAAGTTCTCTGACAGGAAGACCAGCTTTCTTTTGAAAGCTATATTTTTCATTTATTTTCTACGAATGTGTCAGTAAACCAATAAGTACAGGACATTATTTGAGAGAAACTCTGTGCAAGTTGTAATTGTCGTGAAATGAGGTGAAGTTATTTGATTCATTCGTGACGTGTATGTAATAGATGTGTATATGTGTGTGATTGTGTGACGTGTGATTCTACCTGAATTACATAATTCTGATCATGCTTTTATGCTGAAATCATTTAACAAGATAAATTGCATAGCAAAAATATTATCTGAAATTTTATCAGCATGCTGAAGGTTTATGTGTCATTTGGTTGCTCTAGAAGGGCTAATTTGATGGTGATGATGACGAGGATGTTTAGCAGGTGCAATAACAGTGAGCAAGGTGTTCCTGGAAGAGAAGGTGTTGAGATTGGTGGTGCTGTCTCTTCAGGGCTCGCTGGAGGATCAGATAATCCAGGCTAACCCTGCACTGGAGGCGTTTGGTAACGCTAAGACACTGCGCAATGATAACTCCTCCCGATTTGTGAGTAAAACCTCCTCACACTTATAATAAGACAGAGACCAAGTACTCCTGCTCCTGTTATGAATGAGTTCTGTTTTGGACACTTTGGAGAACTGAGGCAGATTCATGCAGGCAGGACAGATTGAATGTGTGACCTGAGTTGAGGCCTTATTGGAGATTCAAAGAAGAGTATGCAGACCCATGACATATCCCCCCTGAAGTGCTTCTGGAATCGGTTACTCCCGGGAGTGTTGTCATTCTTGTTTTTTTATCCGTTTTTTACAAGGGCAAATTTATACGGATACATTTCGGACCATCTGGAAAGCTATCATCCGCTGACATTGAGATTTGTGAGTCGAATATTTTAAATGTAGTCTGTTTATCTGCATGTCTGCCTGTGTATTTTAGAATAGTTAACACTGCTGTAACTGCATAATAATCTACTGTATATAACACATTTGCAATTTATTTTACTGTTGTGTTGTACTCATTTACACCAGCAGGGTGCAGTAAGTACAAAACTCAGGTGTTTCCCCTCCTACCTGAATAGTGAAGAGAACGTTTTTCAATGTCAACAGGCTTTTTAAAGTTTGACCATGTTTGGTTTCCTTTGCCTTGGGAAACCAGGCCTTTTTGTTTCTTAAGAGCAAATAAATTAAAGAACAGTGATACAGTGTAGCTACAGATTACTGAAAGCACTGAAAGCAGCTACTGTATAGATTTCTATGCTTGGCTAAAACATGGACTGATAAAAACTAAAATATTTCCGTAGCTACTGCCAAAGTTGTATAATTTATTTTATATAATATAACATTTTTATGTGTATTTTATGTATTTGTAATTTGAATAAATAAAACATTACGTAACATACAAGTCTTTTCTTTGTAATGAAATGACATTACAAGAAGACAGGCCTTTTGCATCTGATCTGAAATTGCTTGTGTCACTCTCTGTGTGTGCACAAAGGTTCTTTTATCTGTCAAAGAAAAGCATGTTTCAAACACTTGAAAGGCCCTGCTGGATTACTTCAGGCTGCTAGGTGGGGTTTTATCCCATTCTCAGATGAATCAGAGGGATCTGTCAGGGCACACCTCTCGGAGCTTGTAAAAGAAAAGGGCAGTGCATGATAACTGGCTTTTTGTCAATCACAAACAGCTCAACTAAACCGTTTCAGGATTCTGAAAAAAGTAAGAATCATAAGTGACCTTTTGGGCCTCTCAAATGAGATTTTACTGCATTTGCTTAAATATATATATAGAGAGAAATGTTAGTGTATAGATATATAGAGATGTTAATGACTACATCCCAGCTTTATTGTTTCTTTTCATAACCTGCTTGCCATATGAAAGGTTACTGTCTTATAATACTGTTAACAGAATCTAGTATAGGAAAGCGCACTGATATTGTGGTAAAACACTGAGAGGTCCGGTAAACCAGATTCTTACTGAAGGAACCTATAGCAAAACAAAGCCAATGCCTAATATATGCTTGGTTAAAGTTATTGTAAACATTTCAAAAGGTTTTGCACCTTTTGCTTCCTGAAGCTTTCGGGTGGTTAGTATGAACACAGGCGTGCAGAGGAGCATTTCACAAAGCCTACCTAGCCAGACCACTTGGTCTCACAGTCTTCACTTCTGTTTGTACTGGCATGCGGGCTACACTTGTGTAATGACAGTGTACTGGTATAAACTATACAACAGGTATAGGTTACATTATGTGTGTCTTGACAGACTTGTTGGAGAAATCCCGAGTGATTTTTCAGCAGCCAGGCGAGAGGGACTACCACATCTTCTACCAGATCTTGTCAAGAAAGAAACCAGAGTTACAGGGTGAGTCTGAGACCGGCCCTGCCCTGCCACCTCCTGTCCCTTTATAGACGGAGACACCATCTACAGGACAAGGACTGGTCTGCTTCAAACACCCAGGGAGTTCGGCAGTCTCTCTCCACTGAGGACTGAACTCTCACTGTGCCGCCAGAACCATTGAAATCAGTGCCCACAAAAGTCCTGCTCTTGCAGCTGTGGACCTCAAATAGTGCTTTGTGACCATTGTTCACACCTTAAAATTTAAGCACGACTGATTTACATTTTACAGCAAATGTAATCTGTGATTTTCATTTTGTGCGTTTGTAATCAATGCTGTCCTCTCCTTCCAGAGATGCTGCTGGTTACCAGCAATCCATATGACTTCCACTTCTGCTCTCAAGGCGTGGTGACTGTGGACAACCTGGATGACGGAGAGGAGCTGCTGGCCACTGATGTAAGGGAGTGTGTGTGCGTGTGCTTGGCTCAGCGGCACCCACCTGTAGGGAGCTCACCTGGCGGGATGTAACCCTGCAAAGGGACACTGTTCTCTGCTCTTCACAGGAAGCCATGGACATCCTGGGCTTCAGCCCTGACGAGAAGTATGGGGCCTACAAACTGACCGGGGCGATCATGCACTTCGGGAACATGAAGTTCAAGCAGAAACCGCGGGAGGAGCAGGCAGAGGCTGACGGGACAGAGAGTAAGAGTTTTACTGATCCTCCCTCCTGCAGACAGGCACAGTCAGAGCAAGTGAGTCGCTCTTAGTGCAGAGCTCGCTGAGGGAGCAGGAGAGCTGTCTCCCCCGAGGGACAGAGCTACCACGCACCTATTGAGACCACAAGAATGTCAGAGGTCTCAGTCATTTTCATTCTTCATTACTCATGGACATGGTTGTACTGTAGTTACCGTGATACATTCATTATTATCAGGAAGTTTATTTCAAAGTTGATTTCTTTTGTAAAACATTAATTTTAATTAGCCTGCAGTGGCCTTGGACCTGCACTGTGTAAAACCCTCCCTTTTTACACAGAAGCCCTGAATGTTTTTCTTCCCCTCAGTAAGCACCAGTAGGCGGTGGCAGTCAGCACCTCGTCACAGCCTTCCTCCTGTCCCTGTCTACAGATCTCTTCCGACCAGCTTGGGCCTTGATTTCTCCTCACGTTACTGCCAAGTCTTAGCTTTAACTCATTTAATGAGATTAACTCAGACAGAAGTGTGTAGATTAAACAGCATTCAAATACGTGCAAATATTTTAAAATATCAGTACTCTTAATGAAGAAACAAATCATTTTACCAAACTTTAGACCTAAATTCATGATTTTGCTTTACAGCGGCTTGTTTTGGGAGCTGCTCATGCAGTGGTACTTTCTGTTCTTTACCTCTGTAAGTAAACTCTGTAGTCTGCCCTTGAAGAGTTGAGTTAAAGTTCCATTTTCTCGAATGTGTCCCAGTGTCTTCTCTTTCATGCATGCATACTGTACCTCTGTCAGAGCAGTGTGTGTGGTGTGGGTGCGGTGACACCTACAGTAGTTCTGCTCTTGCAGATATGGACAAGGCTGCCTACCTCATGGGCATCAGCTCCTCTGACCTTGTGAAAGGGCTGTTGCACCCGCGGGTGAAAGTTGGCAACGAGTACGTCACCAAAGGACAAAATGTGGAGCAGGTAGGCCGCTTTTATGGCATTATTCAATCGAAAGCAGATCTGTTCAGGTTCTTTGTCACTGACAAAATTCCATGTGAACAATAAACGACAAAGCGATATCTTATCAGTGATAACAAGACATTCCAAGAATTACGTACAGTCATTTGTCTGACACTAGTCATAAACCCCAGCATTTTTTCCCAAGCAAATGAGGCTGAGTCACGATTAGAGACCTGTCCTGGGATTTCAAGATAGAAACTTCATGAACTCAGATCCTTAAGCTCTCATTGGCAAAGCTGCCTGAGTCCTGGCATAGACTAAGAAGGGCCTCACTGTTGCAGCCCTTACTTCCAACAGTTAAAAATATCCAGGGTGTGTGTTTATTGTTTTACTTCCAGGTGAACTATGCTGTGGGTGCCCTGGCCAAAGCAGTTTATGACCGCATGTTCAAATGGCTAGTCACCAGGATTAACAGGACTCTGGACACCAAGTTGCCCAGACAGTTCTTCATAGGAGTGCTGGACATTGCAGGATTCGAGATCTTTGATGTAAGTTGCAATACATCCCCTCACAAAAAAAAAGACATGAGATAACCTTTTGTATGCCCGTACAAAAGAAAACCGAGCAGTGGTATGCATACCATGTAATACAAGGTAGTTTCTTCAATACTTGGTAATTAACATTAAGCTTCCTTGAAGCTTTGTCTTCAAACACCTTCCCCCATCTAAAACTGTTGAAACTTACTATAAATTAACTTTAAAAAAGTTTGCTGGCCTTTGAAATGAAGTGCATATTCTTTGCCTCATTTCTGGGTAATTGCAAGCCTTAATCCTTCACCTGCATCTGTTTCATTTAGGAGGGAGAGGATGAGTGATGAGTGGAGCTGTGTAACTAAACAGCCTGTCTTTCCCTCGCAGTTCAACAGTTTTGAGCAGCTGTGCATCAATTACACCAATGAGAAGCTTCAGCAGTATTTCAACCATCACATGTTTGTGCTGGAGCAGGAGGAGTACAAGAAGGAAGGGATTGACTGGGTTTTTATTGACTTTGGTCTGGACCTACAGGCCTGTATCGATCTCATTGAGAAGGTACTTTTGCTTTGTCAGCCCTTCATTAACTCACTAAATTACTAAACAAATAGCACTATCTTTTGTCTCTTGGCCAAGAATAAACTGGGGTTTGATTGCAATGCAGTGCTTTTATTGCCTATGAATTAGAAATACCTTCATGTATTTCATGCAGATTAAAGCCATATTTAACAAGCCTATTTAAAACTTCCTATTGCTACCTATGCTATGTTACAGCCAATGGGAATTTTGTCAATCCTTGAAGAGGAATGCATGTTCCCAAAGGCCACAGATATGACTTTCAAGGCCAAGCTGTATGACAACCATGTGGGCAAGTCCAGCAACTTCCAAAAACCCAAGCCAGACAAGAGGAGGAAGTATGAAGCCCACTTCGAGCTTGTGCACTATGCTGGAGTGGTACGTCAAGATGTTTTTTATGTGCTCTGAGTTACGTGGCTATTTGCTGACAACTGGAAGTGACAGTTGCCATTGTTGCCTTTGTGTGTCTTCCTGAGGTTCCATACAATATCATTGGTTGGCTGGAGAAGAACAAAGACCCCCTGAATGAGACTGTAGTTGGGCTGTTTCAGAAATCGTCCAATAAGCTGCTAGCAAGTCTCTTTGAAAACTATGTTAGCTCTGACAGGGGTAAGGGCTTTCTTGTACTGTATATCGTATATACTGTAGATTTGAAAAATACTGCGACTTTCATACTTTATAGCACTAAGAATTATGGCCACCTTAAGTTGAAATTAGATTGAATGCTTATAGGGTTCTTTATCCCATCAGATCAGTCCAGCGAGAAAAAGCGTAAGAAAGGAGCCTCTTTCCAAACTGTGTCTTCCCTACACAAGGTATCTGTCATCTGGGCCAGCTGGAACGTGTGTTTGTGGTTTGCAGTGTGCACAAACAAAGTCGCCTTCATTGTCCTTCGGGGATTCTGCAGTGCACCTGTCAATAATTCCCCTATCCTGCGAAGGCGGAGCAAAGCAGTGTCGTACCGTGGAAAAGTAGAGAGAAATACAGTAAAGCATGGTACCATCCTTGGAAAAACCACAGCAAAGCCAAGTACAGTGCATGTTACAGGAACCCGAAAATGAGGGCACACCTCTCGGAGCTTGTAAAAGAAAAGGGCAGTGCATGATAACTGGCTTTTTGTCAATCACAAACAGCTCAACTAAACCGTTTCAGGATTCTGAAAAAAGTAAGAATCATAAGTGACCTTTTAGGACTCTCAAATGAGATTTTACTGCATTTGCTTAAATATATATAGAGAGAGAAATGTTAGTGTATAGATATATAGAGATGTTAATGACTACATCCCAGCTTTATTGTTTCTTTATTGTTTATATGCAGTAGTAAGCAGTAACGATGTGTAGTCTTACTGGAGCAGACTTGGAAAGTTGACCACGCTGTTGCCTGCCTCTGTTTCTAGGAGAACCTTAACAAGCTGATGACAAATCTGAGGTCCACGGCCCCTCACTTTGTTCGCTGTATCATTCCCAATGAAACCAAGACTCCAGGTAGGCACTGGGACAGTGTTATCCAGCCAGTGAGCCAGGGTGATCTATCTGACCAAATGCAGTTGCAGCAAGCTGTTCCGCAAACCCAATGCACTTATTCATCTCCCAGAATGAAACAGCTGTGACCTCACTTTGAGCATGGTTTGTGCTAATATTGTAAACATCATTGTACACGTCATCACAGCACTTTCCCCTGTTGAAGCGAGATCTGTCCAAAGCGATTCCCCCCACCCCCCACTGCTGTGCAAGAGGAGAGGACCGTTCTCTACCCATTATCTGGGGAGAGTCATAATAGTTGGTGTTCCCCAGCTTCTTCTCCTCGGGTGCCGGCACCATTCGGAACGAGCCTGCTCCTTCTTGTTGATTTTTCAGGTGTCATGGACCCCTTCCTCGTGCTCCACCAGCTCCGATGTAACGGTGTTCTGGAAGGAATCCGTATCTGCCGGAAGGGCTTTCCCAATCGCATCCTGTATGCTGACTTCAAGCAGAGGTACGGTCCTCTCTTCACACTAAGCTCCTCTGATAGCCTTCAATCTGCGGTGTGTGCCTCACCAGCTTGGCCTGGGGCTGTTAGTCGTCACTCCTGGGACTCGTCTGTGAGCGGGTTAATATTAGACAGCCACATGCATTGGCAGAGAGCTCTCCAAAATACCGCGTGGTGTCTCCTGCAGGTATCGCATACTCAATCCCAACCACATCCCCGAGGACAAATTTGTGGACGGCAGAAAGGCGGCGGAGAGGCTCCTGGGCTCCCTGGACGTCGACCACACCCAGTACCGCTTCGGGAGCACGAAGGTAGGGGAGCCCTGTGGGCTCTGACTCTGGGAGAGCAGCTGAACTGGAGTAAAAAAGAAAAACGCCTGGGAGTGACTGACCCTGGGATGCGTGTGATCAACTCTGTCATCTGTGTGACCGGCCCTATGCTCTTTGTGACTGGCCGTAGGCTGAGTGTGGCCAGTCCTGAGCTCTGAGCCAATTTCCTAGGGCTCTGTATGACCACCCCTGTGCTATATATGAAAATCCCTCCAATCTGTGAGACTGTCCCTGGGCTGTGTACCAGACCAAACCTGTGCGCTGTGTTTCCAGGTGTTTTTTAAGGCAGGTCTCCTGGGACACCTAGAAGAAATGAGGGATAAGAGACTGGCCAAGGTCCTGACCATGATCCAGTCCCGAGCCAGGGGAAAGCTGATGCGCATGGAGTACCAGAAGATGTTTGAAAGAAGGTATCAGAGAGATCGTGCCCTGCTTTCTTTTTTCTTTCCAAAAGTATACCGCACATTTAACTTGGTCACCCATATTCAGAAAATCAGTAAGACTGGTAAGTAGAAAGGTTTCCGTCTCTCTGCTCACAGGGAGGCGGTGCTGGTGATCCAGTGGAACATCCGGACCTTCATGGCGGTGAAGAACTGGTCCTGGATCAAGCTGTTCTTCAAGATCAAGCCGCTGCTCAGGACTGCAGAGGCAGAGAAGGAGATCTCCACCATGAAGGAGGAGCACCAGCGGCTGAAGGAGACGCTGGAGAAGTGCGAGACCCGGAGGAGAGAGCTGGAGGAGAAGCAGGTCACCCTCATCCAGGAGAAGAATGACCTCCTACTCCAGCTGCAGGCGGTAGGGACCAGCCGGAGACTTCCTTGGTGCTGGATCCGTTTCTGACTGCAGTAATCCATAGTCAATTAAAAAGGTCCTTTTTTAATTTAAAGATCAATGATACATCTGTTCTTTTGGTGCTAATTGTTAAAATTAAGTGAAAAAATACTATTAGTAATCATTCGTCTCCCTCTAAACGCCCAAAGAAGGCTCCACACCTGAAGGCACCACACCCAAAGAAGGCTCCACAGCTGAAACATTATGTTTCTTTTCTTCTATTTCCAGCGTGGAATAAGCCTTTACTTGTTCCTTTGCAGCTCCCTAATTGAACTACGTCTCCCTCTAAATACCTACCTATCTTTAACACTATTCTGTAATAAACTGGAGTGCAGTGATTGACGCGTTATGCTAAAAGACAACACGCGCTCTGTTAACATTTGCATGCATCGATGAAGGATTGTCGCTCTCCGTGTGGTTCGTTGCTGGTTCATCGGCTCCCCTGTGCGGCTCGTTCCCAGGAGCAAGACACGCTGGCGGATGCGGGGGAGCGCTGCGACCTGCTGATCAAGTCCAAGATCCAGCTGGAGGCCCGCTTGAAGGAGCTGGCGGAGCGGCTGGAGGAAGAGGAGGAGGCGGCGCTGGAGCTGGCCAACAGGAAGAGGAAGCTGGAAGACGAGTGCTCGGAGCTGAAGAAGGACATCGACGACTTGGAGATCACCCTGGCCAAAGCAGAGAAGGAGAAGCACGCCGCCGAGAACAAGGTACCACTGGGGATCGCAGGAATGCGGCTGGCTTCTCACTGGCTGCTGATGACTGGGGATGTAGCCGATCGTTTTGATTAAAGCAATCCATTATTCAATTATTTGATTATTTATCAAATTGTTTAATGTAATTGATTATTAATTATTTGATTAAAGCAATTAAGGCTGGGGGAAGTGCATCAACAACTTGTATTCTTGCTAAATGAATTTTTACAGTAATAGTAATAGTTAATAGAAGAAATCTATTTAGTCTCTTAACCGTTTTGAAATTCAGTCAAATCAGCTTAGCAGCTATTTACTAAGATTGAAGAGATGATGTCTCCTCATACTGTGCTCATGTACCGAGTCATGTATACGTTGGTGAGAAACGGAATGAAACTGCACGGGGTGTTACTGCAAAAGATGGAGAAGAACAATGAACAGAGATGATCAGAGGTCATCTCCAAGTCAATGTGGGGAGAAATTCCCGGTGAGCTAAGGACCTGGCGGGTTCGCCCTCACCCTGCGCCCCACAGGTGAAGAACCTGACGGAGGAGCTGTCCGCGCTGGAGGAGACAGTGCTGCGGATGGGTCGGGAGAAGAAGGCCCTGCAGGAGGGTCACCAGCAGACCCTGGAGGAGCTGCAGGCAGAGGAGGAGAAGGTCCTCTCCCTCACCAAGGCCAGGACCAAGCTGGAGCAGCAGCTGGATGACGTGAGTCAGTAAGAGGGCCTGAGTAAAGGCCTGATTGTCTCCTTCTCTCTTACGGTAGATGTGCACCAGGCAAGCAAAGATCAATCAATAACTTAATCACATCATCTTAGAACTTTTTAGATCCCCCACATTCTGGAGGTACTCGTGTTTACAACGGCCAAAGGCCTTCCAAGCATGAAGAGTTTCTGGAATAGCAATGGAACCTAGAAGTGGGAAAATGTTCTGGCTTTGTACAGTAAGGGAATGGCCATGCTGTTTTCATTCTGCTCAGCTGGAGAGCGCCCTGGACCAGGAGAAGAAGACACGCGTCGACCTAGAGAGGATGAAGCGCAGGCTGGAGGGAGACCTGAAGCTGACCCACGAGACCATCACGGACCTGGGGAATGAAAAGCTGCAGCTCGAGGAGAAGCTGAAGAAGTGAGTCAGCATGACCGGGCGTCTGAAGAAACTTGTGGTGCTGCTGTTTTCCTGTTGCAGGTGTCTCCCTTCACCCCCTCACAGCTCCGGTGCTGTCATTGCAGGAACGAATCTGAGATGAGCAACCTCAGCTCCAAGATTGAGGAGGAGCAGGCCATGGCAGGCCAGCAGCAGAAGACTATTAAAGAGCTCCAGGTAGGAGCTTTGGCCCTCTCGAAACCTGCTGCCCATTCGTCTAGCAAATAGCATTGTCCACAGGCAAAAGTGATTTTAATGTCTACTGATACAGGAGTGATTTGTTTAAATCTTGCTGTACATCTCATTTGACCTAATCTATCTCTAATCTTATACAGCTCCTGGCACAAAGTCTCAGCTTTCAGTTAAGAAATCTTTAGATCTTTTCAGGTTCTTCCAGAACTTTATGTTCTTGATCGGACCTTGTTTTAAGCAAGACAGAATAACACGGAAAGGATATCTGCACCTGCGTTGCCACATCTCGTTGTGGAAGAGCAGGGCAGGGTGATGGCTGGGCTGTGCCCGCAGGCTCGAATCGAGGAGCTGGAGGAGGAGCTGGAGTCGGAGCGGGCAGCCAGGGCACGGGCGGAGAAGCAGCGGGCCGAGCTGGCCCGGGAGCTGGAGGAGCTGGGGGAGCGTCTGGAGGAGGCGGGCGGCGCCGGCAGCGCCCAGGCCGAGCTGAGCAAGAGGCGGGAGGCGGAGTGCCTGCGTCTGCGCCGGGACCTGGAAGAGGCCACCCTGCGGCACGAGGCCTCCGCCGCCGCCCTGCGCAGGAGGCACGCCGACAGCGCGGCGGAGCTGGGCGAGCAGATCGACGGCCTGCAGCGGGTCAAGCAGAGGCTGGACAAGGAGAAGAGCGAGCTCCGCCTGGAGGCGGACGACCTGGCAGGGAGCCTCGCGCACGTGACCAAGGCCAAGGCAGGACATCCTTTTCTTTCAGCTTACAGAGCCCCGGCGTAGCGAATTGACCGTCATCGGCACAGAAATATTGGACGGTAGATAAAGTGGGCATCTCTCTTGACAAAAGTGCGTTTCCCTTAGTGGCTCACCATGTGTCCCTGACCTGATTTGTGCTGATTGGTCAGGGGTTTGGGTTCAGAGGTCAGGGTCAGGGTCAGGGGGTCAGAAGGGAGAGGAGAGAGGTGTCGAAAAAAAGGGGTCAAAGACCCCTGTGTTTTCCTTACTGTCATTTAAAAGTATTAGGAACACATTCCTTGCTTTGAAATTTTGCTTTTATCTCTCGCAAAAAAAATCATACCCTAGAGAGAAAGCATGCTTTAAAATGAAAGCTTGTTTTTTTCCCTGTCTAAATGTAGAGTGGTGTGGGCTGCCGATCTTGGTATTGCTGCTGGGGTGACTTGTGTGAAAGCTTAATTTATTCCAGATTCTTTGATGTTTTAAAATTGTGTGATTTGAGTTTTCATAGTCCCAACAAGCTGAATCCTGTCTTATAAGCTTGACAAATCCTTCCCCAAAGGAAAGCTTTACAAAAGAGCACCGTCTCTCTGTGAAAATATTCTTGTGGAGCTGGCATATGTATAAATGTCCCTTCAATATCTTAATTTTAAATTGCATCAAAATGAAAGATCAGTAACAATCCGTGTTCTGAATTAATGAACTCTTGATTTCCATCTTGTTCTACACTAAGCTCTTTTTTTAGATCAGACAGTAACCAGGCATGCTGCCAGCCCAGTCTAAGGTGGCTTTACCCAGATTTCCAGAGAGCTGACCTTATTGTTACACTTTCTATTTCTGTGTGTTTTGGACAGCTGTGTATTAACCTACTTCCCTTCGGGATGATTAATGTAACAAGGGTTAGAGCTCTGTCCTGAAATCACTATGATCAAATCATTTTTAAAGGTTAATTCCATACTTAAAAAGAAAATTTACAGGATGGCATTAGAGACTGGCAGGTTAAATCACCCTTGATGTACAGTGGCACAGTGCCAGGTCAGGAAGACATTAACTATTGAGAAGATCTATAAAGCAAACCACATTTCAACCTTTCATGTCAAAAGTTCACACTCTAAGCATTGACGTGAAAGATGCTTCCAGATAAGTTTTAGAGTTCTCTTGTACTGTGTTTTCTCTCCTGTGACACACAATGTATGATTTTGCCTGTAGCTAAATTGTGAGCAAAGAGTTAGATGCATAATGAGCCCGCAGTTTGCAGTAAGAAGCCTCTTTTACCAAAAACAACAGTACTACAAGATGCATATTAAAAAAAAACAAACAAAACAAAACAACAGCAAAGGGCTAAGTGTCTGATCTGTGCTACATCAGTTTCTGTAGTGGAAAGCCAGGCACTACTCCAATGTGGACTGTAGTGTCTTTTCTTCGGCAGGCGACCTCAGAGAAGCTTTGCCGCACCTACGAAGACCAGCTGAATGAGGCTAAATCACGGATTGAGGAGCTCAGCCGCCAGGTCGCGGACCTCAGCACCCAAAGGAGCCGCTTGCTGACAGAGAACGGTATACACTGCAGGCCTGTGAGGGGCCAGGACTTCCTGTGCAAGCACAGCCGTCTTTTCCTTTGAATTCTGAGCTCTTCACAAAATGAGAGATCTTCTTTTCTGAGGTACTGCTTGCTTAATGCAGTTCCATAATCAACCACCAGACCTTTCAAAGAAAGGATGAGATTTGACCGGCCACAGGAGATAGACCAAATGGTTCTGTTTCATTTAACAAGTTTCTTGCATCATTACTAGAAAAATGGATCCTATGCTGCATACCAGAGGAATTGTACTGTGGGTGTTGAATTGCCTATCCTTCCTTTTTTCCATATAGAATAAATAATTTCATCCTAAGAAAGAAATGAAAGATGTTCTGTTAGAACGCTGTTATTTAAATACATCAGCTACACTCTAATTGCAATGCAATCACGCTCTGATAAGATCTGTAACAAGAATGCATCTTACTAGGTGATGATGGTTACTATAATGTGCCATTACAATGCAAAGTCAATGCATACGTGATTGTAGGATTATATGTGCCACTTCACATAGTTAAGGTACATACTTGTTTTGGTGTAATTACATTGTAATTATGTAATACTTAATAAGCCTATGCAGCGAACTGCCTCCGATTCAGCCCGTGCTGATCCTGATAGCCGGGAGGCGCAGTTCTGACCGTGCGGCGTTTCCGTGGCAGGGGAGATGAGCCGGCAGCTGGAGGACAGGGAAGCCCAGATTGGCCAGCTGACGAAGGGCAGGAGCATCTTCACCCAGCAGGTCGAGGACCTCCGGAGGCAGCTGGAGGAGGAGGCCAAGGTGAGCGTGGTCTCGCTCGGACTCGGAACGGCTCTCGTCAGGGAGACCAGACCAGCGTCACGGCCTGCTCCGGGCTTACTGTTCTCACGCCCTTGGAGCAACGTCACTGAAAGCTGGTTTCAAGGGGGAAAAAAAGCGAGTGTGCATTCAGTACTTGTTGCATTAAGAATTAAAAATCTGAAACATTGTAAGACTTATACTACTGGACAAAAACAAATCTGTCCAAAAAATGACATCTTTGAACAATAGCCGACAAGGATTGCTACTGTATGTTTTGCTTGTTAGATGGTTTCGTCATGAAACTTAATCCTCATTAACAGTCAAGTAAACTGACTGTGGAGTCTTGGTTTATACAGGTAAACCAAGTGACTTAACCTGGGTAGGCTGTTACTTCAGCGTGGGTGATTTATTTAGCATTGCATCAGCTCTGTGCTTTGATAATCTCCCAGTTAGAAATGAAAATTGCGTTCGCTCCTGCTTTAACAATAATGTGATCAAAAGTATTGAGGAACTGGTGCCTGTTAGGGCCCCGTTCATGCAGAACATCACAGGGATATTTGTAGTTTCCTGTGTCTATTATCTCACCTTACACAGTCATACGACTTGTCTTGGCCGGCCATGTGAGCACTGTGCTGTAGGAATGGAGATCCAAACCATTTATCAAAGGTCTCTGTCACTTTACTCATTAATGCAGCCCTTGGCAAAACGAGTTGCAATGCTTTAAGTTTTAAATCGGTCTGAGTTACCACCTGCTGCTGCGGGCCTCGTTTTTTAAACTGAACTTGATGGCTTGCCTGTGTGTGCCGGCGAGCGGCTTGTGGACAGCGCGTCGGGCAGGCGCGCGCTCCACGTACAGATGTCCAAAACGAGCCTGCGACTCATCCCGGCTCGCGTGGCCTGTCCCCCGCGCCCCCGCAGGCGAGGAGCGCGCTGACCCACGGGCTGCAGGCCGCGCGGCACGATCGCGACCTCCTGCAGGAGCAGTACGAGGAGGAGCTGGAGGCCAGGGCCGAGCTGCAGAGGCTGCTGTCCAAGGGCAACGCAGAGGTGGCCCAGTGGCGGGACAAATACGAGACCGACGCCATCCAGAGGACTGAGGAGCTGGAGGAGGCGAAGTGTGTGAGACTGGGCCTACACACACACACATGCGCACACACACACACAAGTACACCTATACACACATACAGTACACACACACCTACAGTGTACACATTTACATCTACACACACAAACACGCACGTACACACACACCTAAAGTGTACACATTTACATCTACACACACGTACACACACCTACAGTGTACACATTCACATCTACACACACCTGTGCACATACACATACACAAACGTGCACACACA